ATCCATTCTTTTAAGAATAAATAACATAGCTAGTGAAACTGATTCTCTGTCCTTTGTGTTGTGAATGGACAGGGTGAGTTGAGGTGTCTATAAGGGCTCCTCAGGTGGCCCCCTGATTCAGGAGAAAGAGTGCTCTCATTTCTCTCCATCCCCCCATGACATGAAATGTATATAGACTTAATCTCATACAGTATTCTCAGTTGCAGTAGGTAGCATGAGGTTACAGGTGACTAACAACCCTGTAAGAACAGTGTTACAAATGGAAAATCAGCCAACTGACATCTCTGTAGGGTTTTAATGACTTTATAATAGGGTTTCATTATTGTATTTATGGCTTTATAGCAATTATGAGGCACACCTGTATTATCATATTGAGAGTACCTGAATTTCATTCCAAAATAGTGACATAGTTAGGGTTGAAACTAAATGAGAAATGATAATTTCATAATTAGTTCTCTTCAGCATTTATACCCTGAGAAAGGTTTTCCCTCTTACTTAGCCTCCACTCCAATTCCCCCATTTCCTAAACCTTGGAGTGTGAGAAGTTTTCTGTGGACCTGGGATCTGAGGTCCCTTCTGATGGTGCAAGGTGGCCACTGGTCACCACAGCTGCAGTAACAGAAATAGGGACAGAACAAAGGTGAGTCTCTTTCTCTCCTCAGGCTGTAAAATGCAGTTATCACTGAAACAATGTTATAAACGGGAGTTTGGTTCCCCAGTGAGTCCTCAAAAATGTATGTAACTCACAATGTAGCTAAACTACCGTATTAATTGTTCTGCATTAATATCAGGAGCAGTAATACTACAATTTTAGCTACATTAAATAGGCTTTTGTGGACTGGCCTGGAATTCTAAATATCTCTATAAAAGGTAACGTTAAGCCTATATATTTCCTGATGAAAGTAATTTCTTTGTTCCCTTTACTGCTTTCTATGTCGGCTACACTCTGACACCCTTACTGGGAAGACTGCCACTGGGCAGCAGGCATACAATTTTAAAAAGCAAATTAAAAAAATAAATGCAGCCCTGCTTTAAATTGAGCATTTGGCTTATATACAAAAAACAGTTCATTGTGCTACAAAATTACCAGAAAAATAAAGAGGTGACTAATTATAAAAATATCATTCAGTTTTAATATTATAGGGCTATATTTTCAAAGAGCAGTATAAGGGGGTATTATATAATGGTTATATTTCTAATTGGTTTAATCTTCTACCTAAGTACATAATCAATGACAGACCATGCACATACATGCACCATATTTAAGACATTACATATAACATAGTGGGCTCAAGACATAACAGGTTGAAGAAAAACTTAGTTACCTTATGATGAGGCAATAGTTCTCCTGCTTTCCACATACATATATGTATATGAGTGTATTTGTGCAGCACCATCAAACAACGTTTATTGAGCATCTACTGTATACAAGACCCTGGGCCAGGCAGATATAAGACAGAGAGAGACCATGCTCTCAAGGGGTTGATGTGATTTTCTTTTGTCAGGTAAACACTGAGATGTGGGACTGACTGAAAGTCAGTTCTTTACTTAGGAAAACAATTTTCATGCAGTTGTCCATTTCAGGTGAGGAAGCTGAAGAATAGAGTTGTCAACCTATGTGCAAGGTGGAGTCAAAATTAGGGTCACTGGATCCTGGATTTTGAATTAAAAGGACTCTTAAAAACTACATGGTCCAGTGAGAAGGGAGCTGGCTTGGGAGTCTGGGATCAAATACTGACACTTTTATTTACTTGTGCAACCTTAGGCAAGTTACCTAACATCTCTGGGCCATGGTTTCCTCACCTGCAAAAGGAAGATGTTAGACTAGATAGACTTGAGGTCCCTTCCATCTCCAGATCTAGATCCTATGATCAGCAAGGCCCCTATTATACAGAAAAAACTACTTGAGCTCAGAAAGGTTGTGACTTATTCAAATCACACAGCAGTGATGAACAGAGATGCAAAGGTAGGGTAGAGCAGAGATTCAAACCCAATCTAGAATGTGAATTTCCACTTTATTGCTAACTTTTGCAACCCCACACATCGTTTTGTGTAAGTAGGATATAGGCACACAAGCATATATACATATCAATTACATATATATGTATATTTCAGTAAGTTACTTTAGAAAATTGCTGTTAAAACAATTCCAAAATAATTGTTATTGCCTGAATTATTTCCACCATTTTGTTCTTTGGACAAAATTGATCATACCAGAAAACAAAGGAAGCACCCAAAAAGTGTGAGTATTGACTAATTGGGCAAAGCTATGTTCTTGGTTCTGAAACTGTTGAACCTTCTCATTTCAGTATTCAAAATACTGGCTATTGCAAAGATAGAAGACTGGTTCCCATTATGTCTACATCTATTTGGAAAAGTATAGGAGGGAGGAACAAGATGAATTTGAACCACATTAGCAAACAATTTCATAGTTCAGTCAAAACAACATTTTTTGTTTTTAGTTTTAAGTTTTGGCTTGAATTATCTTGACTCTTCTTATTTGCATGTGTAGAGATATCTTCTATTTTCCAATTCATGTGAAATAATGTAACAAATAAACAACACTTTAGCTATATAAGTAAGTTTTAGGAGACAAGATGTTAGATTTTACAGACGAGAGAGAGAGAGAGAGAGAGAGAGAGAGAGAGAGAGAGAGAGAGAGAGAGAGAGATTGAGACGTTATGAAGAGTTCCAAAACTTCCTCTCTTACCATTAGCCATTATCCTATTCCCCTCTCTCTCAATTTACATTAAGGACCTAAATGATATTAACTCTTCCAAGGGAACTATTGTTTTAGTTTTGGAGTTTAGATGTGTTATGAATCAATCAACAAATAAGCATTTATTAAGTGCCATAGTAGGCACTGTACTAACTGCTGGAAATACAAAAAAAAATGCAAAAGACACTCCCAGCCCTCAAGGAGTTTATGATCTAGTGGGGGAGACAACATGCAAGCAAACTTGGAGGATGGCCAGAGAGAATTCCTAGAGCTGAGAGACTGAGGATCTTGTTTGTGGAACAGCCAGGAGGCTGTTCATGGTGGAGAGTAAGGGGTGAGAAGACTGGAAAGGTAGGAGGGGGCTAGGTTTTAATTTTGCTTCTTGAGGCAATAGGAAGATTGTAACATGAGAGGCAGCCCTAGACAGTAGAACCAATTAAAATGTAATTGGGAAATATTTAACAATATAAATAAGAACACAATAGAATATAACTAATGATAGTATGTGGTTTTCTATGTCAATAGGTATCCTGCAGGGATCCTTACATACGTTTTAAATGGCCCCAATTTCTATTTGAATTTGACACCATTGCCATAGAGGATAAAGAGGTGGCCTTGGACTCAGGTTGACCTGGGTTCAAATCCTACCTCCAACACATACTGACTGTGTAATCATGGACAAACCATTTAACAAATGACTTAACATTCTCAGCAACTGTCTAAAGCCAGGCATTGAAGAACAGCTGCTGATCCATCTATATTAATAGAAGTAATTTTTTCACCAGAGAATTTCTTACACCAATGAAATCACAAGTGGTGATCATGAAACAAAGAAATTAATAAAATAAAAACCAACCAACCCTCAAAATTAAGACTGTAATACAAAACAAACTGAAACAACTGCCCAAATATGCAACAGATTTGAAGCTTGACTGCTGGGCAGCCTCTGAAACAACAGTTTGATTTGAGGAATTTCTGCAAATACATAATAGAAAGTAGGAAGATACAGAAAGAAAAAATTTAACCGTGCAATTAAAAAAATCTATTCAAAGATCAAATTGAAATAGTATTACTGAAAAAATTACAAAGTAATTATGATAGTTTTATTTGTTCTCCAAGGCTATTCTTCAATGCCAGCTGGAAAATGTTAATGTTTCAATGTCCTTTATGCCAAAATGACCAGTTCATTTAAATTGTGGGTTGGAATTAGGGTATAATTTTTATTTAAGCACTTTATGCTTCTCCTCTTTTTTGGTTGCAGTTTTGAGCATTAGGGAAATATACTCTGAAGAAAGTACACAAGTCATATCAGACCTTAGTTCTTGAAACTGCTAATTTTGTGCACCAAGCTAGTGTAAGGAAGGAGATTTAGTCTAGAATCTCAAGAAAAATATCACATATTCTCACTCTCATTTTATATTATTCTGAGGAAAAAAGTATGCCTTCTTGTAGTTTAGAATTAAATTACTGTTTTAGCTTAAAGTTTTCATATCACAGTGTTAAGGAGGAAGGGTCACAGGGAAGTTAAGGTTCTGAAACCTGATAATGTGATAGAAGACTTTAAACTACTAAAATAGTAGTTCAAGTTAAGCCCAGGTTTATAAACTGGAAGTTTTATGGTAGAAGAGGAGGTGATGTGGTAAAGGGAGAGATATAATGTATGAAACAAGCTGGTTATCGCAGTCCTGCTATGCCTAGAATTAAGTGAGCCTTCTTGTTAGACCCAATGAACAAACGATATTGAAGGAGCAGCAATATACAACCACCTTCGGGGTTTGTCCTCGAACTTCTAAAAGCTCTCAACATCTACCCCAGGTTTGATCACATGAAACCTTTCCCAGGAGCTTAACCAGTGATTTTCATCTTCAGGAAGGTAGCAGCCTGGTGATTTGGTAGCTATGTCTACCATCATCACCACCACCTCCACCACCATCCACTGCCCCCATAGTCCTCGTGTATTAATTAACATAGCACTAGGAAAAATAGATATAATGATGTCAATAAAAGATTTCTATCTTTTCTGTCTGCAAATTTATTTTTATACTTAGTTAATGTCTTATATACTATATTACCTTGGGCTACATATCTATTTATAAAACACTTCTTCCCAAACCTTATTCCTCAAACTAGTTTCCTCTCTGACATTGATAGGTTCTGGTTACAAAATTATAGTCAGTAATATGAAAAATTTACTTTCATACAAGTATACAAAATCATTTTTGCAATAACAAACTCAGTCTCAGAGTTATTTATGCAAATTTCTTTATCTTTGGCATGCATTTTATTATAAATCATTTCCTTGAAGTACACAAAGTTTCATTTGACAGGATCATAGACTCTTTAGAGATTGAAGGGATCTCAGACCTGGTCTACCCTCTCATTTTGCAGATGAGAAACTGAGGTTCAGAGGTCAAGTGACTTGCCCAAGGTCACAGCTAAGTCATTTATGCACAGAAAAAAGATTAAATATATCTGAAATTGATTTGACAGGTGTGATTTATAAAATCCTTTAGCTTAAATGATAGTCACTTTTCTATCCTTATGCAAGGGCTGTAATGACATTGGGTCTAATGTGCCCCAAAGAAATAGCCCCCAAATTAATATCATTCAATTTCTCCTTTCCTCCACATATATTAGAATGAATGGCTGGAAACAACTGTGAGAAATTTTTTAATGATCATTCTCTGAAGTTTGTAAGATCTTCTTTGCTTCCAGATGAAACCCATCACCATCACTATTTTTTCCACATTGATCTTAGATTTCAATTAAGCAGACATATATTTTCACTTGGACTGGTTGCCCTTACTATCTGATGCAATTGGCACTGAAAAGACGAAATGGGAAATATTTGTAAAGTTTTTATTATGGTAGATTTTTTTTGGTTTTGTTTTCTTAGAAACAATGAAATCTCAGTCAAATAAAATTGACCTTTTTAATGAAGTGCTAAGAGATTTAAATCTGCGTTTATCAGAGAGTTTTCTATTCCGTTAATCCTGGTGACATTGGAATGTCTAGGTCTTTGTGAACATGCATGCAAGCACTAGATTTCAAGATAGTTAAGCAATGTATTTCATGCAAATTCAGCACATTTTTCATAGCTGCAGCAATTATTGTGTGTTTATGTGTTTGTGTGTGTGTGTGTATATATATGTAGTCTTTGGATGGGAAGATGCATATGAGAATAGTAATTCCCAAGAAAACTCTACCCATAAATTCAATGGTATTTGCATGTAGTTGTCAAAATTCATTTTGATTTGGTGAAAACTAATTTGGATCCCTGTAATTCTTTTATCCATGTCATATTTTACTGCATGATAAAATTATATAATAAGGTAATTGTATATTGAAAACACTTCGGATAAAGCCATTAAGTGATCAGATTAAGAATTAATATAACATTCTAAAAATGTGAGTTTTTCACATAATTATGGACATTTTATTTTAACTAACACATGCAGTTCCCTGAATGGTGATTGCCAGAAGTTAAGAGAACTGGAATATAATTCAACTTTTTAAAGTTATCCTTGGACTTTCAGGGAATATCTAAGAAGGAATAAAACTATTTTCTTGATTGGGGAATTAAATAAGTAAAAAGCTTCTTAACTATTTAAACCCACCCAATTATCTAATACAACCAAGTGTAAAATTGGTCTTTCAATATTCTTGAGAAAACAAGAAATTCTCTTACTGAAAGCATATATTCTCATACATCATTTGTTATTTTTTTGTATACAGCTGGCTTCTGATTTGTCTTATTCTTAGCTGATAACACATAGTACTTTTGATCTGTTTTGTAAGACACTCAACATCATTTAAATAGGAAAGGAATCTGAATTCCTGTTTCCTTGGTCACCTTTTCACCTCCCCTCCCCTAGATATGTCCTCAAACTCATCATTTCTCACTAAAGTAAGTCCCCAATCCTTAAGCATGCTCATTTACAGGGCTTCAGGCACAGGAGGTTTGAGCATCCATCACATACCAAGCCAATTTCTAACAGTTTGAAGACTTCATGCAGTGCAGTTTCTTTTCCATTAGTAGCTGTAATTTGCCATGTTTGTATAAATATAGATGTGCTTTTGTGCATCATTTAAACTATTGTCTCATGGTCCCAACTGATTTGGCTTGAATTGATGTAACAACAGTATCTATCATAAGGACTGCTCTTGTAGGAACAGACGATGATACTGTCTTGTGGTACAAAGAAAATGCTGTCCTCAGGTTCCGGGCAGTCAGATCTGTCCCAAGTGGAGCACTTTGGTTCCAAGGCACTGTAGTTGGGGGTGCTCCCTGATGGTAGGAAGGTACCTGAAGAACAGCATCCTTCCAGGTATCTGGAAGTCTCCTTCTGATTCTCCTTTTGGACTAGACTCTTGCATTCCTCTTCTCCTGTAGCAATGGTAGTAGTGACAGAACTAGCCACAGGCACCTCTCCCTTTGGGGAAATATTGCCTCTGAGGTATGTCTTTTTGACCAGCTCGTCAGAGCTCCCCTTTCCTGACTCCAGGTCAGATGGGGTCCTCAACAATTCAATAACTTCCTTGTCCTTTGATTTTTTGAAGCAGGGGAGTTTTCGACACCAGAGGAGTTCATTCTCAGGCCATTTTGTGCAGCCCTCTGTTTTCCGGGCCAGAGCAATGGCAGCTATCCCTGGCAAACAAATTGCAGGTCCTATGGCAAGGAGGGGGATGTTCCCCAGGGTCTCCCCTTTCATCCCAGAAACAGTGAACATGAAGCCAAAAACAAGGAAGACACTAACCAAGGCTACCACCAGTCCAGTCCTCGGGTTGATGTCATCTGGTCTCATCTTTTATCCCATCCAGGTCATGAATTGCTTCAGTGAAGAGAGAACAATACTTGAATTCCTTCTGTCAGAGCTGACGCCAGGGTGGGTAAAATCCAAGGAAAGTTTCCTTTTGCAGACACTCCAGGTCTCTTTCTCTCTCACACAAGTAGCCTTGAACACATTGTCACACACCTACTGGACTATTTGGCAATACCCAGAGCTTCTTTTCCAGTCTCCCAAAGGACTTGCCGAGGGGCAATGGGATGGAAACCAGTCCCACTCTCAATAGAAAAATCCACAGCTGCTGTCTCTCAGCTATTTTCCACGTTTCTAGGAGGCAGGACTGGCTTTTCCCCCCGGACTCTGCATCATGCTGGAAAGGGAGGTACTTGTTTCTGTCCAGCTTTCCCTGGGGGGTTTCTAATGCCCTTCTTTTGGTTATCAGGTCAGATCAGAACATGCAAGTGTTCACCTCCAGGCAGGGAATCGAATGCCTGTATATGTGTGTGGATAAATGTGAGCATGTCTGTGACAGAGGGAGGAAGGACTTAGTGTTGGAAAGAGGGAAAGATTTTTGCCTACTCTTGTTACATCACATTTCGGAGCAAGCTGGGAAACAAAGAGAGCGGGTGTGAGGGAGGGTGGCAGGGGTCAGAAGCGGGAATGAGCCCCCAGAGGAACAATAGGGCCGGACGATGTGTCTGTTATTAGAGTAAGTAGAAGCCAGCCAGGTTTCTCCTGAAGGAAAAGATACTAAGTGAGGGAAACACCCAGCACAAAGCCTGGCATATACCCCTCTTCCCAGAGGGAGTTTGGGGAAGGCCGGTGTCGAGCATTTGAGTACACAAACTCAACATGGTACTAAAACCATCTGGTCTCGCTAGGTATAATGCCTCGGAACAAGGAGGAAGTGAGTGGGCAAAGGAGTGGGGGTGGTTGTTCATGGTTGGGGAGGATGGAAAAAGAGTAGTAGGATGGGAATTAGAAACGCCTGACATCTGATTGACTACAGCGCTCCGGCTCCGCCCCCCAACCTGAACATAAACTCTCCAGCCCAGCCCCCAACCTGTCCCTAAACCTACAAAGCCTCGATTGAACCCCCATTTGCTTCCTCCGCACAAAAGCTGGGACCAGGAACAAACTAGCAATTAGGTGGCGCAGCCCAGGAGCGCTGCCCTGACTTCTACCTCCCTTCGCCACTTCCCTACCTCCTTTCTTATCCCCTCCACTCAGCTGTCTCTTAAACCACCCCACCCCACCCCCCAAGCCAGGGAGAGGAGACTGAGCGACACTCGGTCCCCACGCTCCACTGATAGGGGTGGAGTGGCAAGGGGAGTGGTACACGCTAAGACTGGAGAGCCCCTGCTAATAGCCATCCCTGGGGTTGGGAGCAGAGAGTGGAGAGTTAAGAGCGAACAAAAGCCCCCCCGGGGAGAGCTCCCAGGCTGGGAGAGCTGCTCACAAAGCAATCTCGAAGTGCACAGATCGACGAAACAAACTAGCCACCAAACTAAAGTCACCCATATCCTAGGAGTTAGTTGTGGATGCTGTGGAGGCGGGCTTTACTTGCTCTTCTCTTTCCCAGCCGGTGTTTGCGGACCGCACACTCAAGCTAGTCTTTCCTTAAGCATCCAGCATCGGATAGCGAAACAGCACAAGTACCTCAGGGTGTCTCTCCCCAAACGCCCTGAACTCTGCGTGTGTTTATTGTCTGGAGGTGGCGAGAAGAGGGCAAATAGGATTACCAGATTCTCCATTCCTTTCCTCACCACTGTGGAACTCCATTGGGTAGGAGAAATAGGTTGACTCTGCCTAGAACCTAGTAAGCTAGTCATAAACGTTTGTCGACTGATTGGGAAAGTGATCAGGGTGCATCTTTTTGCTGACTTGGTAGCTTGCGTTAGGAGACGACAGGACAACCCTCTTACAACCCTTGTTCGTCTTCGGAAGTCTTTTTGGGCTGCTTTAGTTCAGAGGAAGGAAACAGGAGGTAGAAGGCGGTGTTGAAGAGCAGCAGGGTGTAGATTTTGGTAATTGTGTCCAGTGATTCTGGATATAGGTTTTCCAGTTCAATATAAAGATTAGCTCAGAAGTCACAGTCGATTAAGTTTATTTTCCCAAAGTAGACCTAATCTGCTTTTCAGGTTTGTGATACCCGGTCTACCTGTAGAGGCAGCATAAAAAGAGTACTGGATTTGAAGGAATACGACCTGAGTTCGAATTTCAGTTCTGCCATTTATAACCTCTGTGACCTTGGGCACATCACTTAATTTCTCTAATCCTCAGATTCTTCATCTGTAAAATCAGGGGATTGTATTAGGGTTTTTTTTTCAGAGATTCCCAATCTGGGGTACCAATAATCCCAGGGAGCACAAGAAGCTTGTGGAAAAGGAATGGGGAATATTTAGTGGAGAGGGGGAACCCTATATTATCCTATTGATATTAATAAATTTTATTTCATATGTGGAAATGTAGGCTGAACTCTAGAATGTGTTCTTTTAAAAATATTGAATAGGGTGTTCAGAAAGATTCAATGAAACCCAAGGGATATAGGTACCACAAAAAGTTGGAAACCCTTGGACTAAACAACCTCTAAGATCCCTTCCAACTTAAAATTTATGATTCCTCCTGTTCCATTCTCTGCAAGTGCAGGCAGGGGCTAGATTTCCACTGCATAATGATTCCAGTTGTTACAGGCTGTTGGAGGGGAAAGAAATCAGGGAAGGAAAGAAGAAAGGAAGGGAAGAAGAAAGTGTGTGTGTGTGTGTGTGTGTGTGTGTGTGTGTGTGTGTGTGTGTAAATTTGGGATTGCAAGTATTGTGGAGCTGTCCAAGTGAGCCTCAAGGGATGGGAGAGGACACTACCAAATGATCATTTCTTCCTACGCCCTCTTTTTCATTTTTTTGAGGTTTGTCCTTAGCTTTTTGTGTGTATTAATGAAAAGCTATCAGCACCTAACTTCCTTTAGGAAAGAGAGCATGGGGTTCCCAGATTTTTGTTTTATATGTAAAGTAAATGTTGCTTTCATAATTTCTTCTAGAGAAATTCATCTTATGAGCTCAACATAGGTCACTTCAGACCTAGTCCAACTTCTATGCAAAGCTAGAACATCCTGGTCAAGTGATGATAGAAACTATATTTGAAGACACCTGTTGGTGTCTGAATTCATTGTTGGACAGTGTTAATAATAAGGAAAATTTTCCTTTTCTTAAAATGAATATTGCTCCCAAAGTAATTTCAACCCTTTGGTCTTTCTTCTGCTCTCTGGAGTCAAGAATGTTTAATCATCTTTCATTGGACAACCACTTAAATATTTGGACATAATCATCATGATGACTTTAAGCCATGTTGAGTAAATGCGACCAACAAACATTTCTTAGGCACGTATTGTGTGCCAGGTACTGTGCTGTTAGGGACACAGACATGAAAATGAGTTTTTGTCAAGGACCATGCGTTCTACCGGGGGATGCAACATATTGGGCAATGGCAGCAAGGAAAAGGGATTTGGTCTAGAGATAGGCACAAAGATTATGAATGATGCCATAAGACAGTAAATTGTCATGACCTTTCCAGTTGCAATGGTAATATTGATTTGACAATTATTTTCTGAAAAAGAGCTGAAACGCAGGGTGTTGTTTTGTTCAGTCGTGTCCTACTCTCTGTGACCCCATTTTGGAGTTTTCGTGGCAAAGACACTGGACTGGTTTGCCATTTCCTTCTCCAGCTCATTTTATAGATAAAGAATGGAGGCAAACAGGGTTAAGTGACTTGACCAAGGGTCACATAGGTAGTATGTGTCTGAGGCCAGATTTGAACTAAGGAAGATGAGTCTTCCTGATTCTAAGCCCTATCCACCCTGCCACCTAGCTGCCTCCCACCCAAACAGGGTAGAAAATGGTTTAATTTTGAAAGTGGGACAAAAAGTAAGATACTCATGCTGGCTAGGGATGACTAAGTGAAACTAAGCATGGCCTATAGGGAGCTAAAGTAAGTTCCAGGCAGATAATTTCTTCAACCAATTCTCATTTGTTTTAGTCTGCTGATCAGACTGATCAACCTCTTCTAGACATGCTCATTTGTCAATATTTCAAAGATCCATGCTCTCATCCATTTGGGTACTTCCCCTTTTAAGGAAGACCACAGGCATGGGCAGTCATATAATGTCTCTGAAGCTCTGGATCACTACTGAGATCTGTTCTAGATTTGGATCCAGATCAAATGATCTTTCTGTATCTTAATAGGTAGTCTTCATTAGTTGCTGTCATCAAAACAATTCATCATTTCCTGTGTAACCCTCTCCAAATTTAGCTAGGCTAGTTCTCTGATGATTAATAAAGAGTCTGTCCACCAACCTACTCAAAGCCTTTCCAAGTTGATAAGAACTATACCAAGCTTGTCCTTAGACAGGACACTTTGCCTGGGATGGGGTGGCGGTGGCATATAAAATGTTCAAAGATAAATAAAAGCAGGATATGTAGAGAAAATAAATATATAGTGATATGAAGGTGGGTATTCATAAATGGGAGAGTCATGGAGATGTGACTAAAGCTGAGATATGAAGGCTCTAAAGGGTTCCATGAAGTAGAGGTGAGGAGGAAAAGAATAGGCATTTATATAGTGCCTGTTATGTGTTAGGCACTGTGCTAAGTTCTAAGTACTCAATGCCATCGTGAAATTCGGTACCAGGAACTCAAACCCAAGACCTGTGGGGAAGGGAACAGGGGAGCTCTGGAAGGGTAGAAAGAGAAAAGACAGCCCTGAAAGCCAACTTCACCTATTTTCCATTTTTTGCCAAGGACCATCCTTGCCCAATCCACCCTACAGCACTTAAGAATAAAGGAGACAAGATGGAGGACAGGAAAAGATAGAAAAAAGAAAAAAGTAGATGGAATGACTAACTCTGGAATATCTTGGGGTTGCAAAAAAGAAGATAGAAACTATTTAGGTTGTCACCTTTCCTTTGCTATTTGCTCACCATCCTTAAGTCCTGATTTGCAACACAAATTAGAGATAGGACATCAAATGGGAATGAATACCCATTCATTTGGCTCTTTCCAATGGAATGATTTTCAACTCCTCAATGGCAAGCCCACCTTTGTTACATAAACATTCTCCTAGGGATGTATGTATGGTTCTACATTTTGGAGCACGATCTCTGAAGAATCAAAGTTTGCAGTTGCCCCAAAGATCAATGGAGAAGTGCTTGGTGGGTGCAAATGAGTTGTAGCATATTTTCAATGTTGATACATGCCTAAAAAGTGGCATAAAAGTTATCTTTCAGGAAAGCTGT